ATTTTGTGACGCTAAATGACCCAAGGAAATCGTTATCTTATGTTCAATAATATTACCACCGCTCTTCTTGTCCATCGACTCGCTTGCAAGCCAATAGGACAGGGTGATGAGATAAGATGCGAGAGGAAGTAATGCATCCTTTACATTACGTAAAGACAGCGCTATTCATTCTTCCACATCTTTTCGACCAAGGAAAATCTAATCAACTAATGATTCTAATAAGCCTTCCCAACCCCAAAGTTTACGTCCGGTACCGTAGGATGGCGACTCTCAGCACTACCATCTACCGGCGCGGCAGCCTGGACGAGATTTTCTTGGCTACGCGAATAGGGATGTGCGGGTTCGTTCATGAAACTTGTGGATTCGTGCCTATCATGTGAGGAGTTGAGATAGGAGCGTTTGTGATCGGCTTCGTAGGAGTGGATGCTGGATTTGGAGTCCATGAGGAGGGAGTTGCGGGCGTCGAGGGGAGTGAGGTTGTCGAGGTCGCGGTTGAGTTTTTCTGAGGAAGGGGGGTTAATTTCAAGGGGGTCTGGAGAGGTGATAGGTGGGAATGAACTTACCAGCTTCCTTGCGACGTTTGCGATGGGGGTTTTGTTTGATGATGGAGATTACGGCATTTACACCGATGAGGATGGCGAGAGTACCGGTGAGCACTGATTGAATGGCGATGAGGACAACACCGGTGACGGTTTGAGTGGTTTGGGAAATTCCGAGTTCTTCGACAAAGACTAAGATGCATATGACGGATAGAACGCGTACACCTTGAACAAACATATTAATTACATTTGCGGATCTTCTCTCAAAAGGACGAGCCCAGAGGAGAAGAGCGAGCACTAATAGATGAGTTAGAATGAATTTGTTGGAATAGTAAAGTCAAATACTTACTGAGAGCTTCAATGATGAGTTGGGCGACCGTTTGGCCAAGACCATGTCCATCACCTGCGGCTAATACACATCCTTTTGCAAACATGTAGATGATGACGGGGACAAAAAGCCACCAGTAATCCTTCTTGTAGTTTTCGTAAAACATGCTGTATTTGAGCCAGTTATCCTTCTTCTCGTATAATCCTGATACATCTCCATCTCTCTCCTTGAGCTGCTTTGCTGCAGAATAAATCTTCCAAGCGAAAAAGAGAAGAACACCGGTAAATATACTTAATGTTATAGCAGCAAGTGCTTTGGCAGCCCATGAATCTCCATTGGTGAATTGGAAAATGCAGTACAGTACCCATATGCCATAAAGAGCGAGGATCAATTGCAACATGAGACGAGCCATGGTTTGCCAGTAATGTTTTCGGAATCCAGTGAGACTCGGGGGGAAAGATGCGAAAAGGGCCCAGGTCTCGAGGAGGACCTTGAAGGCGAGAACGGCGACGACAATTCCAGCAATAACGCATGCAACTATCAGAAGAACGGTCATGAAAGTATTGGCTTGGGGAACGGAAAGCTCTTCGACATATGCTTTGATTCCTGCTACTTTTTCTTCGATGACTGCAGTTACACTTTCCGTAGCATTACTCGTTCCATTAACGGACGCCACAATCTCTCGCGCGTTGAGCATCGAGTCTGAGAACAATGATCGTTTATCGGGAGTTTTAGTCGAACCATCAGCGAATACCAACGTAGCATTACGCAAATAAGTAACACTATCAGCAGTCAAGTTTCCACCCGTAGCAGCCCGGAAACTATCAATCGATCTTTGCATAGCGGTCCAAGGAACGATACCAGTGCTAAACGCAAAGTTCATGGTAAATTGTCGATAGATCGGAGGATGCTTGACGGACATCATTCCATTCATAGCCATACCCTGAAACCAAACCAAACATTCCATAAACGTCGGGCTGGTTGCAGCAGCTCCACCGGTTCCACCTGCACCAGCAGCAGCAGCAGCACCAAGTGCTGAAACTCCACCTACAATGGCAGCAGCACCAGCTACACTTGCTGCAACATAGGATACAGCAGGAATGGTCGTGGTCTTTCCATTGGTGATATCTGCTTGGACGCAAGCAACTTCCACTCCAGTATCCAGGGTTTTGAGTACGATGGTGGCTATGGCGGAAATATCAGGTACTGAGAAGGCCATGGCGGGAATCAACTGGGCATATTGACCGGGGATCGCTTGTGTTCCAGAGGCAGCAAAAGTTCCCTGGGGGACTATGTGAGAGGATTAGTCCGGACTGTCTTGTAGACTTGAGGGGAAAAAAGGGATGAATGAAACTTACCGGGACACAATTGGTTTATAAATGTGCTCTGATCACACGGGTTGAAAGTGTTTGAATAGACTGAAGTCCCATATGCAGTCACGTCGACCTTGGCGGCGACGCTTATCGACGAGTTACTCGATCCGGCCAAATCGAAAGTGACCGTTTTCGCGTCGTTGTCGAATACGACGGACATCTTCGTGATCGAGATACTGGAGTCGGCCAAACATGATGTAAAACCTGTTGTCCTGAGAACTTGACCTGCAAGAACTCTGCCCGGCAGAGATGCTAATAAGAATAAGGAAAAGGTTGAAATTTGCCGCAACATCATGGCGGCGGCGTGTGTGTGTTTTCACGGCGAAAGACCGCTTGTGTCGAGCACCTGAATTCCCCAAATATCCGAATGCAGAAGGAATCTCTCTATTCGAAGTCGGCGTGTGTCCCTATGGTGATGGAATGGTATCCTCAACGTGTATGTATGTATGTATGTTGTTGATATGTCTCTATGATTAGGACCTCATGCGATTCGAAGAGAAGAGCGTTGTAGGTAATATGGCCTAGGGTCAACCTGGAACGAACAAAAGGTATGGTCAAAGCTGCAGAAGCTAATTGCGAATAGCAAATGCAGAGATGGAAGATTGAAGTTCGTGGAAACGGGGGAGGAGCGGCAGAAGTGAGTGTGTAGGTCGATAAGCAATGAAGGTTGGTGGGAAAAGTATGATGGAAAGACGGGGAGGGGGTTGGGGCGGATTGGACCACGAAGGTGTGTATGAAGATGAAAGAGAGAGGAGCAAGAGCAAGAAAAGCGCTTGTAATTTGGGGGGAGAGACTATCACATTACAAAAGAACGATGAAAGGAAGGGGAAGAGGCAAAAACAATGAACGAGCGTAGTCAGTGAAGCATCTGCGGCTATCAGGATCTCATGTTGTAGGATTGGCTGCAGGTGCGGTGCGGGACTGGATTGTACGGCCTCGTGCTGGAGTGTACGGTGGGGAAGGAGAAGGAGAAGGAGAGGGAGGAGGAGGAGGAGAAGAGGAAAGAACCGGAGATTGAGACTGAGAGTCTGGCATCGATCAGGTGACAGGGGTGGCTGAGTGAGAGTGGAGCCAGGGGCCAAGAATGGACAAGTCTCGGTTTCGATCAAGGAAGGACCCAAGCAGGTATGCAATTCTTGCATCAAATCAACCCAAGTAAAGCCGGAACTAGATTTTAACCTCAGGGGTAAGAGATTGGCCGAGCCACTTATGGCCAGCGGCACGAATGATTGGATGCAAAACCCACATTCAGGTGCCGACCGTTTCAAGGATGATTGCTAGGCGTTTGATTGGCTGCTGGTGACTATAATTAGCCTGGCCTGGATCGCGATGAACAACGGACCAATAGTTCCGATCTCCTCGAGTAGTCTAATTATGCAATGGCTAATCAATCCCGATGAAGTATAAACGACAATGCAATGTAGACTGTATACAACATCAAGCTGGATTGATCATGGCACGGATTAAGGCATCCCGTCCGCTCTGCCATACACAAGCTTCAGATCGGTGGATTAGTAGCTGGGTGCGTGGTTTCTTTGGCCTCTAGTTGCCAAGACTGGTTTTGACATAGGGCACACACATGCACACCCTGTTCTGACCTCCTTTTGGGAGACACGGATAATAACAGCGGCGACTCCATTCCTACCCGGGCAAGGGAGCCCAGAGTGAGGAAATACACATTACGCAAGCAGGAAAATCCTCAAACTGCTCTCTTTTGCCATTGTCCATTCCCATCGTGGGGGCAGTTACGATCTTGTGATTTTCATCTCAACGCATAGCTTCCATGTTTCTTTTTCCGGTCATAGTCAGAACCTGCCTGGCATTGAAGGGTTGGTGATTTGGCTCTTCGACCTGCTGTCTGTCATTATTCAAACCGATACCCGAGTTATACTAGTATTGTCATGCTGCAAACAGATATATACAACAGCGTCAATAGCGGAATGCCATCATATTGCTAGTCATATATTACTGTAGTTGGTTAATCTGTAATCTCATAAATGTCTTACAGACGTAGAGGTATCGGTATACTCTAGATATACATGTATGAAAATCCGTTGCTTTGAATTCATCACCCCTCGCTTAACTTGGGTTTCGTTATTTGACCTTACTCTTGTACGCAACATTACACCGTACAACGTTAACGGCACGCTTCTCGTCATAATCAGAAGCCGCCCGCAGCAGAATCGATATCGCCCCTGCTGCCGCCCCTGCCTGTCGCGTGTTGTAATTGGTAGCGTCGTTAACGTTGTTACATCGCGAGAGAGGGCTTCAAGTGGGATCCGAGTCGTCAGGAATAAATATCTGTCTGTCTTCTGCTGTGCGCTCTCAAGATGGTCGGTTCGAACCCCCCACGTTGGGCTGGCTCAATTCCCATTCATGATCAATAAGAACTTGAATGCCAGCGTGTGCAAGGTGTGTGTGCAATTTGTTTTTTTGGCTTCAGCTTTCTTTTCTTCTTTCTTAACTTTGATTTCGCCGTATGTGCAGAGTATGTATGCTCGGCTATCCTCCTCGCCCCACTTAATTACCGAGCCCATATCTCATCAAGGTTGGCGGGATCCGTCCAAGCTTTTGTGGGATAAGCACTATACATTCTTGGTTTTTTTGGGTTTCTTTCCCTTCCTTGCTTTTCTCGAAAACCACATAAGAAAGAAGAGGCCGATTGATGATTTGTTCACTCTGGATGTCACATCTTCTTGCCAATTTTGCTCCACGGCTTTAAATCCAAACGCCCACCGATCAAAGTATGATAACTCAACCGGGCAGATGGCCGAGCGGTTATGGCGTGTGACTCAAGCTTTTATCCGCTTAATTGATGCAAAGAAAATCAATTAATTAGCATTCTCATGGGGCAACCCGCGTGGGTTCAAATCCCACTCTGTTCAGGGATTCTTTTGCCACCATTTTGTGGAAGGGAATTCGACATGGATTTTGGATGTGATAGATAGATAGATAGTATAGATACGGACAACAAGGCAGATAGATAGATGATGAGGGTATGTATCGTATGTATGAGTTTTGACCAGATCGTTTCTCGTCTTTTCATCGTCGAGTTCCTTTAGTAGGGCCTTTCTTGTAGATGAGTTTGATATCAAGTCGTCACTTAGTACATCCAGGAAAAAGTACGAGGTTGACATCTCATGCTTACTACAATGGACTGCAATAATCACCACTAACTACTCCATATCCAACAATACAAATATAAACATACATACAAACGACTACTCCACATCTTCATCGCCATCAACCTCTGCATAACTCTTTTTCTTTGCCGCGGCCCTCCCACTTTGTCTAGCCGGTCTAGACTTCGTGACCGGTTTCTTCAATTCATCATCATCATCAGCCGACAAATCGGGCATCCTCAAATCATCGTCCTCATTCGAAACGCTATCACTAGGCGTCTGCACCTTCTTCGCAGTCTTTCTCTTCGCCGGTGCCGGCGCTGTCTTTTTCTTAGCGGGCGTGGTTTTATTCTCAGCCTTTTCATCCCCCCTAGCCTGTGCACTCTTAACCAATTCCACCACCTCGAAAACATCATTCAGACACTCCGCTCTCGCCAATTGGGTCTTGACTCCTGCGTCAAATGGCATCATCTTCCTCTCCGTAATCTTCTTCCTCGCCTCGAAATTTGCTGGCGTAGGGTTCTTAAATATCTCCTCTTCCTCTTCCTCCTTGTCCCCCTCAGTTCCTTTCCTTTTGACTTCTCTCTTCTTTGGTCGCAACCATTCTTCCATCCCTATTGGCCAATATACACGATTATCCTTTCCTCCCATGCCAACTTCTTCTTCTGGCACTATTTCCTTAGCCGGCTCCTCTTCCTCTTCAAGCTCATGGCCAAATTCTTCAATCTCTTCTGCGATCTGCTTCTTCATCTTTTTCTTCTTGGGTTTCTGAGGTAGAACACGATTATCATCGTCTCTCTCATAAGGGACAATGTCATTAAATTTGTCGTATCCCGGTAATTTGAATGTCCTCATTAATTCAAATACTGCCTGTTCTTTATCCTTGGCCTCAATCATTAAATCCATATCGTTTGCGCAGGGTGGGAGTGTTGCTGGTCTAGGATTATGTTTTCGTCTCTGCTTTGCAGTAACTGCTTGAGGCGTTTGTTCACTGTAATGCATTTTCTGCGTGATGCCCTTTTTTGTCCATCCAGCTTTGATTCTTGGATAGAGATCCATGATGTCCTTAGTACCTTCACGGATCTGACTAGAATCGAACAAAATATTATTATGGTGAAAGTCAAGACACAGAGGAATATTGAGCTCTTCACAGATGGGAAGGAGATCGTGGACATTCCACGACACATCATCGTTTTCGAGAACGAGCCGTTCTTTGATGGAAGGTGAAAGCTTAGCGTAATTTTCGCGGAAGCGATCAAGTGTGGCAGCCTTGTCGCCAAATGTACCTCCCATATGTAGGATCAAGACTGCATCTTTGTTGATTTGGGTTGGCAATTTGAGTAGTCCGAGCATTTCGTCATGATATTCGAGGTCTCGAAATGCACTCGCAATGACTTCTGGACGCGGAGAACCCAATTGGGTGAACTGAATATTTTGTTAATTTTTAGCCGAAGATTAGGTGAGTTCAACTTACCTGTCCAGGATGTGTGCTAACTCGATGTCCCAATTCTGCTACCACTTTCCCAACTTCTGCAAGAGCTTCACTAGCAAATGGGGCAAGCTTATAGCCATACTCGGCATGACTAGCAAACGGAAACATTTCCGAACTCAATCTCATGAACTTGATACCATATTTGTCATTCCATCGTATCATTTTTGGTAGGTCTCGAATATTTGCCAAACATAATTCTTCGACATATCGCTGCCCTCGTTCGATAGAAGCAGGCTTTGATTTATCTGGTCGATTCTTGGTGGCATGCTCAGGCTGTGAAGGATCTTTCAGAGGGTGTCGATGCTCGACAATAGAAGCAATACGGCAGGTTCGGGATGTGAAGACTGGAGGATTTGATGACCTCAGATAAGTATTCAAGCATGCCTGTATTCAAACATCAGCATTGACGATATTGCTCTGGCGACAGGAATTCCGACTTACATATCCTAATCTCCCTTTCCATGGTAGAGGTAAATAGTCACTATTGATAGGAGGCGGCCTCCTCGCCTCCAGCTTTATAGCATCGGCATCCTCCGCCTGTCCTTCATCATCTCCATCAGGATCGACCCTCTTATCCCATTCATCCTCATGACCTACTTTTTTCATCTTTTTCTCCGCGGCCTTTTTAGCAGCCTGTTCTGCCACAAAAGCTTTTATTTCATCCGACCCTTTCTTTGCGGCAACCGAGCTTTTTGTCGACATTTTCTTCTGCTTCTTGGCGGGTGTAGGAGCGAGTAATTCATCCCCAACATCGGACAACGATGAATCGCTCTCCTCGTTCTTGATCGGAAAGTTCACACTATTTTCCTTTGCGGGCGTTATGGGTACCCCGATTTTCTTCAAGTCAAAAGACTCCCCTGCCTCATCAGCGTCCGGACTTGCGCGAAGTGCCGCCTTACTATCTACGATGTCCGCATTCTGCTCAGGATTGGTGTCAGGTTTGCCTCTGCGAGACGATTGTCGTGAGGGCCTTGCAGGTGGCTTAACCGAAGTGGACTGGCTCGGAGGTAGAATTGGGGTCGAACCACTATCGACCGTGGGCTTCGCCGCCACTGAGGATCTCCTTCGTTTAGGTGGCATTTCTAGACTCCTGACTCGGAAACTGTCTTGACGAGATAAAGTTATGTGTGTGCGGCTCAAGCTAGCCCTTCCAATTAAAGGGTATGCGAAGTGTCCGGGAAGGCGCAAGTGAGGAGAGAGAGACGCAAACATTCAATATTGAGATTGAGACTGAGACAGAAATTGAAATTGAGAAATGATGTATGAAAGGTAATGTCCTACCTCGAAGTATGTACATATGTATAGCTTACCTCACCTGCGTCTGTGGAATGAACTCAATACACGCCATGCGCTTAGTTGCATGATAGCTCATGGCTAAAAACCTGAGTTATCTAGGCGGATCGAAGCTAACAAGCCATGACGTTGATAACTTCTTAGCGCCCGCGTCACATGACAGTCCCCTTCCCCTTGGCAACCCCGACTTACATTTCAGGAACATCAAGTACAGTTGAACTTTGTATATAATCAAATTCATATCTCTGATTTACTATTATTATTACTACTTTGGCTAAGACCTTAAGCCTTGCTTTCAAGAACCCAATTCCCTTATAGAAGATTGTGCTACCGATTACCAACGAGCACCTATCAGCATGCATTCAAAAAAGAAAACAGATATTTGTATCGCGAAGAATTAACAGACAATCAAATTGCCGTGCCATGCTCGCCGATCACAGCCTTCACATCATCGTGATGATGAACGGGATGTGTGTCAATGGCTCCATCGCGACGACGAGTGCTCTCTGGATCAAATACACCGTCGTTATGATGAGTGTACTTTTCATTAGCGACGCCACCGACTCCACCGGCTCCGCGGACATCACCAATAGGAGCTGTAACCTTGAAGTTTCCAGCTTCAATGTCCTTTGCCAATGCATCCAATCTAGACACCTTGGGATTCACTTTCCATGGACGGATACCTGAATCGAAGACCTCGTCCATTTCCTCAAGTGTCCTACCTTTAGTCTCTGGTGCAGTCAAAAAAATGTGGATGAAAGCAAGTGCGTTAAATGTGGCGAAGATCATGTACATTTTCCAGTTGATGTTCTTCAACAATGGTGGGACTGCGAAAGCAAGAACACAGTTCCAAAACCAATTGGATGAGGTTGCGAGAGAGACAGCCTTTGCACGAATCCGATTTGGGAAGATTTCGGCTGGGTAAGTCCATGATGAAGGTCCCCAGGTTGTTGCAAATGCACAGACAAAAAGGTATGTCTATGAAAACAGAAATTAGTATATTGGAAACAGAGCAAGAGTAGTAAGAAACAGCACGTACCATAGCAACAATGGCAGATGATACACCCTTTTTCTTGTATACGACCCATGTAAGGTTCTTGTTTTGTTCGGTTTGAGTCTTGTCTGTATCATTGGGTTCTCCATAGCCTGCCTGAAGGCCACCAGCGATGAAAAGGAAAGTCATCATAAGAAGGGAACCGATGAGCATCGATTTTCTTCTTCCAAACCGATCTATATATAAAATCGCTGGGAGTGTCAACATCACATTGAGAATATATTGGATGGATGCAGTAACCAATGGGTTTGCAATATCTGCACCTTGCATGATATCTAAAATACGTTAGTAATGCTTCCCGTCATTCATGTGCTGGCTACTTACAAACGACATAGTACATCATGATGTTCATTCCACAGAGCTGAGACCACATTTGGATAGACATTCCCAAGATGACACGCTTCAACATTCGCGGGGCTGCAAGTTGCTTGTAACTGCCGATAGCTTCCTCGCGCTCGAATCGAAGTGCTTCCTCAATTTCCTGGTATTCAGCGAGAACCTTTGGATGGTTGACATCACCACCACCGTGAAGGTCTGCGATAACTCTGATGGCTTCCTCCCATCGATCCTTGGATGCCAGCCATCTAGGAGATTTAGGTAAGAAGAACATGCCGAAGAATAGAATGACCGCAGGGACGATTTGAACTCCCCACGGAATGCGGAATGCCGAGGTAGGTTGATCCTGTGGAAACATATATCAGTATGCTAGCTTTTCTTCTAATGTCATTGAACTTACCGGATTATTTGGGCCACCTCCAATGTTCGAAGCGCCATATTGAATAAAGTACTGAATGAGAATACCCCAAGTGATGGCCCACTGTTGAAGAGAGACGACTCGACCTCTGATCTCTTTTGGTGCAATTTCCGATTGATAGATGGGGCAGATCGCTGAGGCAATACCAACACAGAGCCCAGCAATGACTC